TAAAACCTTGATGCGAAGCGATTCGTGCGTGTGAGTGGGACATCTCTCATGAATCGGTGACGCTTCGCCGATTGTCTTGTGGTACGATATTTCTCAAACTACCTAGTATGCAAAGTGCTCATTGGTTTAATGAACCTTTTTTTACTTCTAGGTAATAAGTTCAGGTTTTATAAAACAGTTTGTTTCCTAAAGTTGGGATCAGCTACCGAGGACTGAACAGCATCATCGGCAAAAATTTCGACAATTATGAAATAAACGGGCGAATTTCTTCTACAGAAAAGGCGGTGGTAGGTCAGCGTCTCACGTACTGGCGGCTCAAGGTGGAGAGTTGTGGATAGGAGCACTGGGGGGCCGGACGCCATACGATGACCCGCCTGCATTGTCTGAGGGAGCTGGGGGACGGGTCACTGATTACAGGTAAGCTGTCTTATTAATCCTACCTCCTTTGGTATAAACTTATGTTTTAACATTTTAAGTGTTTGGAAATCTTGTTGTCAACTGAGCAAGATTCTAGTCGTGTAGGTATATATGTAGGTACTACATTATTCATTGAAATATTTGCAATCGAAAGATGTTCTAACCTAATAACAGTCGTCCCCGTTTTTCAATCGAAAGATGATCCGACCTGAGAACGGTCCCCGTGCTAAAAGAAAGTCTTCATCAGATATTTAACGAAGGTTTCGCATTTTCAGTTTTGATTTGTAGTCACGACAATGCACCGCATAGGTTTTGCAACGTTGCATTTATGTAACGTAAGGCAGTCACGGGCTTGTCGGGTTGCGAGTGGGTCGCATACATTGTAATTAGCCTAAGTATTTTTGGCTTATTATATTGAGTGGAACTTTGTCGTCATCTCTTATTTACAACTCGAACCCGTGTCTCAACGGATTAATGGTCAAATATGTAGCTATTGTATAACTGCAATATACTAATATCACTTGTAATAAATAATTACAGAATTAAAGAATTTGGCGCACTAATGCAACAAAACAGATTGTATCCACTTCGAGGCGCCGGCGCCAACGCGCGGGCGAGGGCGCGCCTACAACGACATACTACGTACTGGCCGCTCACTATATCTTCTACACTTATATTTAATTTAGGATCGGTAAGTTTTCAATATATTAATAATCTTCTCCTTATGGCCTTTGAGATGACGACGATGATGTCGACGTTTTCAATATGTATAATAACATAAAGATTCAGCTGGAACATTCACATATACCGTTATAATAATATTGTATAATAGAACACCTAAGGAAAAGTAAAATCTTCTTGAATCCAAACCCTTAATAAATCTTTGCGCGCTGAACTTTACGGAGTTCAGCCCTTCCCCTTTTCCAAAAATAGGTAAGTTGAATGATTAACTTTTCTTGACTTAAGAATACTTACTTTTTATCAGCATTGGGTTCGCTAGAAACACTCATAATATGGTTTATTTTGGTTCTAGTCCCGATATAAATGTTTCTATATCGCTACAAGAACCCTAATGCCCGAATATTGAAACGTCACTTAATTTAAAATCGCGCTTAAGTATATTTTATTATATTTTTTTTTATAAACCTTCACGCACAACGTGAACACACGGCTACACATCGAGCTTTACATAACGAGTATAAACTGAACGTTAAATGTGCGGAAAGATGATGCGACGCGACACCAGGATAAACTGGTTTTGTATCATTTGATGTGTGGCCGTGTGTACATAAGATGGACTTAATACCGTAGGCATTTTATCCCAGTCTGACCTTCGGGTGATGCAGAGAATAGTTATTGGAGCAAGAAGCAAGCAACGATTTAATTGAGCAAACAAGATACATTTACATATTTCAGTGATACATCATAGTATAATTCTGTCACAACAAATTCTTTGTAAAATGACAGAGATGGCATGATATTTAAGTACAACCTAAAATTTAGTAGCCTTTCAGTATTAGGGTAAGTAAGTAACTTATGTTTGAAAATCTTCTCAGGTATTGGAACCACTAACCCGACTAGTAGTACAAGAAACGTTGACTGATGAAGAAGTTGAGACGTGTCGCAATGTACTCCTCTCCTTATTGGCCATGGAGTCGCGGCATGAGTTCCCGACCAATCAGCTTCCATCTAATATGAGGTATGTGACTTAACAAAACTGTGCTTAGTTTAGACTCCAGGTCTCGCACAAGTCTTTAGTCCAAGTGATAAAAAGTCCAAAAATGCAACTTTACAGAAAACTTGAGACAAATTCGTTTGTTGACTTCGTATGTCATTGAAACTGCTACAGAACACATTAAACTCCATGGGGTTCAGATCAGTCCCCGACCGACGTTAGCGGATGATTTGCCTTCAACACTTTTCTATTGGCAGTCAAAGCCTTAATAAAGCACATGTGATGTTTTATAGGCTCTATTATACATAGCTTGAATGATGAAGCATTTCATCTGATAAATTGCGATATTATTAACTCATTTTTTACAAAATTGGACTTATGCCCTTTTTTACTACGGTCACAGAAATTACTTCGTCAATCTAGATGTCAACTACGTTTTATTATCTATTTTTATAGAAGTAAATCAGTGGGTCGTCGCGAGGAACAATGGCGGCAAGTATGGGGAGAACTCGAGGCATTAGTCAGGGCGCACGCCGCCGCGCCGCAACACCGCGCGCTACTGCGGGTACTGCTCGACTGCCGCGCTCATAACAACCACCAGACTGACAGTATGCATCCATCTATTATTATTTATTATTATATACATAACTTTCTTTTTAATCACAGTGTAAGAATGTCGTGGTGGCCCGGAGTTGAAACCTACCAACAGCAAATACCAATGTGACTTTTTCCGAGTTATATATGTACTTTCTAAGATTATCTAGACAATACTGACGTTGAAGGAAAACATCGTGAGGAATCCTAGGCTTATAATTTCTAATTCTAAGTTTGTAATCGCCAACCCGCATTGAGCAAGCGTGGTGATTTATGCTCAAAATTTCTCCGTGTGCGAAGAGGCTTTGCTCAGCAGTGGGCATTTATAGGCTGTTGATGAAGAAATATCAGTATGAAACCCCTTCATCTGGGGTAAATGGGACTGTCAAGTTCATAATTTTATTCGTATATTGTCCACATGGAGGTCGATAATCAAAATTCTTTCGCCACTTCTTTTTTTGCTAAAAACGTGATGTCATTAAATCGGTTTTAAAGGTAAGGAACAGCGGTTAACGTTTCATTGTTTCCTGTTTCGTTTATCCCATTTAGCTTATAATTTCGGAGTAACTGCAAAAACCCAAAACTACGTCTTTTAACCAACGTTTCATATTTGAACAAGCATGTTTGTTATTTCCCGCAGAAAAATTTAACACGGCGAAGAAAACCGAATCATGTGAAATAGTTTTCATCATGTAAAAAGTAGAATGCTCATTAGGCAAAAGTATAAGCTGGCGTCGAGCCTAATCATTAAAACGCTTCTGACCCCAATCCACTTGGAAAAAACCCAAGGAGAAAGTATTACACGAAGTAGATACGCCCTCCTAATACATTAATAGTACCAATACTAAAAAAATAACAATGTTACTCACGTAAAATTTAACTATTTTCCTAAATTGCCATTGTTCAAGCACAATGCAATAAAATTGAGCAAGGGCGACATTTTAAAATGTAACTACTGTTTCCAAGTCGCACTAATTAGCATGAAAAGGTCAATAGTGTTGAACTGTAAGCGGTAACACATCAATGGTTTCAATTTTGTATACTTACTTATATTAGCATTAGCCGCGTGGTAACCGTAGAATAGAATTTATTTACCACCACCCTACTATTCCCGCGGGTGTATGTCGTTTAAATATATTAAAAAAAAAGTCAAAATCATTTATTTCAATTAGACCAGCAAGGCACTTTTGAACGTCAATAATCATACACAAAGCAATGTCATTAAGGGTGAACCTTATCCTTTATGTCCTTCTAACAGTTAGTATGTCTTTTGTTTTTTTTTTCTCTTTATGTTTCTTTTGTTTTTATACAGAATAATGTTTCGAAATTTAAATTTGAATACAGTAGACAGTTGTTGGTTGTAGTTAGTATAGCTTTGTATGTAAAATGTTTGGAGTGTTTTGCAGCAGTTCTGTGTTTAAAGAAAAACTTAGCTTAGGATATTATTTTACTTTTAGTTATAATTTTACCGTAAGCTGCAAAACACTCTGATAATTCTAATCATATGAAATCAATGAAGAACAACCCCAAATTTTGCATGAATGAATCGCTAATGTCCGAACAACAACTACGTAGCCCAATCTTTTATACACCTTTATAGTAGATAGACATTATACTAAAGTCATTTGTTACAGGCGAATCTCGTGCCACAGTGATTCGCGCGACTACAGACTCGCCTCTGTCCCCGGGGGCGACCGGCAACGGCAGTTCTGGCAACGGCACACCCGGCAACGGCAGCGACGTGTGGGCGCCCCGCAATGTACTCGACGCGTTACTCGGCGCGCCCCGCCCCGCACGCCGACCTGACTTCGCCGGACGCATGGCCGCCGGCACTCGAATCGCGACCTTGTACCCTCAGTTACAACAAGACGTTGAAACGCCTCATTAATCTTTACACTACAAGCAAATCGATATCTAGTACCCGTAGGCCCAAGTGTAAATGCAATGAGATTATAAAGTCTCATTCGAGTATTTCGAGTCTATCGAATGAGTAAATGGAAGTCGATAGAACTCAGGATGTGGTCGCCTGATTAACATTATGTGGTACAGCTACACCGACCTCCGCTTGCGGTTGCAGCGGCCATTTGTGACTCGTGTATTATTATGGTGTTGCAAGAACTACTCTGTTGTGTTGAAAGTGACTATGTAGTAGAATGTCAAGATATTTTTCCTTCAATTTTATTTCAAGTATCCATTCTTGTATGTATTATAATAGTAGATAATAAGACTTAAAGTAAGAACATGTGAATAAATATAATATTTTGGAATGAGGGAGTTTGGTTTATTGTTGGTTGAAATGAAAAATGCGACATTATAAAATTAATATCTTATATTTGTTCAATAAAAACTACATGTGGGCCCGTGTGCCCGGCGCCCGGGTAACACGACCTTTGTATTATCTTGTTGCATATAAACTCTGCGGGCAGACTGTGTCATAAGGCAATGGTGTGAATGGCGGCCTCGCGGCCTCGTCAAGGCATCTGGTCCGGATCTCTCCGCGGCGACGGCCCTGCGCCCTCGCCGCCGAAACTTTACAATTATTGGAATGTCACGCTGGATGCGAACGTTCGAACGTTAAAAATTATTACAAACGAAACCTAACGCTAGGCCCCCTCGTGGGCCACTCCGAAGATACACTCACATCGAAATATTGTACAATCTCATACTCTCGAACGCGCCCGACCGCTCGGTGCGCGCCCCAAATATCGATACCCTATAAAACTTACAAAATCGACCGGTACTTAAACTTAATGCTAAGTTAAAATTAATCGGAATTGAAAAATAAATTACCTAGGTACAATATTTTAGTCTAGAAAGCTATTTATAGGCGCACGAGGGTCGCTTGGTGGGAGTGCGCGGATGTCAGTGTGTAGCTTTTCGAAGTTTCTTAGCGATAGGTAACGCGGCCGCGTCTGATGAGTCACCCAGTGAGTTCTCTTCTGAGCTCGCTTCCTCCATTTGCCTGCAGCAAACAAACGGAACAAATGAATACCTATTCGATACGAGTTATCGTGGAAATGGTGAAACAACTGTGTGCATAAAAACCGATAGGACGGCTGGTTGTTGGAACAATGCAATGTAATTACAGAGTGTGTAAAGTATAGTTACCGTTTGGCACGCGGCGTGCTGAAGGCGGAGTCGGAGTTGTCGGAGGGGGACGCGGGGGTGGCGGGGGTCGCGGGGGACGCAGCTTTCGCATCCATCGAGTCCTCTGTGCACGACGTCGTCGTGTCCTCATTCACTGAGTCTGCACCTAATTTTCCTGTAACAACGAAACCACTCTTGATATCATGATCATTTCTACCCAAACGGAAATTACGAGCGTGTGATTACGGCTCATTTCCCTAACGTGTTCAAATAGTCGTTAAGAAGTAAGCCGAATGCGTCGCAAATTCTGTACCTAACGATTGTGCGGGCACAATTACTTGTAAGTTAACTGGGTGCTTAGTTATCTACAACATCACAATTACACTGCAGTACATATTTTCGTCTCGTTTGCTCACTGGATTGTGGGTAGCAAACTGGCAATAACATAAAACGTGATCATTATACCTCGTAGTCGTTCGGTCCCGCATTCAGTTATCATAGACATCGTTAGCTAAAACATGCGGGATATCACATAATGTGAATACGCCCTTATGTACCGACTGCTGCCTACGTGTTTTGTTAACATTAGCACGATAGACGTCTTCATTTATCAGCTTTAGAAAATCATGAGCTTCATTTATAAACACCATAATAAAACACCCCCATAAATTATAAACAAAGAGACTTGTTTGTCTACCTAAGTTTTCACATATTTGCTTCTAAATAAGGTCAGACTTTAGTAGGATTTGAAACATAATACGCGTTCGAATTTTATTGCGATTACGTTTTATGGCTACACTATAATTTACACTAAAGATACGTTCAGGCTCTTGTTCTGTTTGTGATAGAACATAATCCTTGCGTTTATAGAAAGGTTGGGTTACCATGTCCGTCCACCACAATAAAACGAATTGTCCAAAAATAATGAGTAAAAAAGAAACTTCCGAAGTTTTCGTACGAAAAAACGTAGTTGATTAATCAAAAATAACGGGCTTGGAAATGAGAGCAGGCGTTCTCTGATTTCGAGCGACCGTGCAACATTTCAAGTTGTCTCGATTAAGCACAAGACAAGTGAATTACTCGATTATATAAATAAAAACTTCTAGTCCAATATTTGCTATAATTCCACGTGTTATTAAGATATGGATGGAAGGTGAACGACACAAACTATTTACCTACTTAGCAAAACACATGCATTATGGATCTTTTGTCAAATTCATGCCAATAGCATATTTTAGTTATCTACAATATGGGTTACGAAACAAGTTTTATTAAATAATTTTTATTCATTTGCATGCCCCCTTAGTCTTGTTAGTACAGTTTTTGTTTGCAAAATATTTTACTTAGACCAAAGATAATGTTCTTTCATTATAAATCTTTTAGGGATCTATGTGATTATTAGCTGACGCGGCTAACTTCGTACCGCCTTTTTTTTTTCGAGGGGGAAAAATCATCCAGTGTTTTCTCCCGCCCGAGTGAGGCGGGAGGGAATGTCAGACTCTTACTGACTAAAAACCACCCCGTTCCTACTCCTGCAGTTCGAGCCATAGCCCCGGCAATCCGTTAAGTCTTCCGCGGCTCCGTAAACCGTCTAAAATTTGTTTTCTCACCTTTTAAGCCTTCCCTGGACTTCCACAATTATTTCAAGACCAAAATTAGCCAAATCGGTTCAGTCGTTCTCGAGTATTAGCGGGACTAATGAACGGAAATTCATTTTTATTTATATAGATTGTATAAATTCTTTTTCAATAACAAACTATGTTATTTTATTATTAGGAACATGATTGTATCATGAACAGGTTGATAAATTAATAACGACTTGTGTAATTAACTTTTATCAACCAAAATGAGTAACTGAATTAGAATTTTCTTATTGAACACGCTTTCATTTGCCGTAAATAGTCCACGTTTGTTGGCAATTCCAAGGTAACATTCGTGACTGAATTATTTCTTAAATTGGTGTGGTTGACCACAAGGAGTTTCTGCACAAATTACTTGGCATAGACATATGTACTGACATAGTATTAAATTTCAATAAATGTCGACTAAATCCCTTAGAAAAAGTAACTTAACTCAACCTAACGTTGCTCCCAAATTGCCATTAGAATAAACATTATATCAGTATTCTTAAACCATTAAATCACAATGTTATTCATTCATAGACAAACCAAATCAAGTATGTACCTACATATTTTAATTTTAAAATTGAATAATTTATGTTATGCATCTATTTAACGTTTGTAAACATTTTTAAACAACAGTCTAGTAGCACCATTATCCTTTAATTTTGTAAATTTTTTTTATGCAAGAACTAATCGATTTTTTTAGTCTCAGTTTTGTATTTTAACTCTTAATTTGCCGGAACGTGGATCCACGACACAAGAGACACAGTATACAGTTTATTTTTTATTGTGTATCATATACCATGTGGTATTTATATTATTTGAATTTAATACTCACCATTGCCATTGGTGGAAGGTGGTTCGAGATTACTCTCATCACTGGGTAGGGGTGAGCCCCCATTGGCTGGCGCTACCGTCCTGCGTTCCTTGCCAAGCAGTTCCGGCTGCAAATCTGATATCACGTGGTGTGTCCATATCGCCAGCTCTACCATGTGTGGAGAAAACTTGTTACCACAGCCGTTTTGTTCCTGAAAACAAAATCACGTGTTAGAAAAACAATGAGAAATCTAACCCAGTAACTAAGTACTTTATTGTTATGGATTTAATTATGTAGTATCAAAAGGAAGGATTTAAATTTATTTATCAATTTAAGATTAATTAGTGTGGATTTCAATGCAGCTATTGCCGGTATGCCAGTTTCCTGTTTTTATCGTCAGAGTTAATTATTATTTGAACAATTCCATGTGTGTTTAATTAAAGTTCCACTTGACAAATTAACTCCCATACGCGAGGTGAATAGTAAAAAGTGCCATTTTGTGTAGGTGCTTAAAAATCATGTAGCGTGTAAAACAAAAGCCATTAGACTCTACTGCCAAAACATTACAAAAGGGCACTTAGGCCTTTTGCCAAATAAAGAGACGCTTCGTATGTTACATTGTATGTTACTGTATAGATAATGCAGTGTAGTGTGTACTAACCTTATTTAACCTATCACAGACTTTCCTAATATGGGTTACAAAATTGAGGTATTCCTTGGCAGTGTAGTCGCTACCCTCCATCTCAGGGATCGCCTGCACGCATTCATCAGCCATGAAGGGAGCTATATCTGGGCTGGCCGCTGCCAGCACTGCTGAAGCCGTGGCCGTGCCCACTCCTTTCAAATTACTTAACGCCGCCATCGCCGACTCTATATTCGGCAACTTTCGGAAGGCTTTCTTCGTCTCTGCCATCACAGCCCTCGGCGTGTTCACTTTTATCAAATATGATAATTGTGGATAAAATTTTCCTCTCTGTAACACAAGATGAAAAAATTCAAGCCATTGTTCAATTTCAATAGGTCGTTTGTACTTGCAACTGTTCAATATGTTTATAAATCTCTTGTAAATATTTGGTTGTAGTTTACAAGTAAATCTTGCGATTGATTGACATACGTGACATTTGTATTGATCGTAAAACAATCGTGCTAAAACTAAACTAAGTACTTTACACAAATGATTACGGATATTTGGGTATTTGAAATTCTAAGCTGGTATTTGCAATGTAATTGCCGATGCAAATTACGTTGGCTGAACAAATTGTTAAGCCAAGTTTAAGTGATCGTTAAGGAAGATCCTGTTTTTATTTCTTAACACGAATTGAACGTGTAAGTCAATTTCAAATTAATATTTTACACTCGATTCATTTCCCAGCGCGGGGCTGACACAAAAACTAATAGTTTATCAATGAAACGATGGTTATGAAACGGGTTTCGCTGGATGTTAGTATAATAAACTCGTACTGACCGCTTGTTTCCATTTCATGAGTTGTACAAGCTCCTCGTGTATCATGTGCGCGTCCTTGCCTCTGGATTTAATCTTCTTTGGCAGTTCATTCTGGTACCTGCAAACACGAAGAAATTATTATAGATATTTTCATCCTCATGGTACATTATCTGCGGATTAGATCGCCCAAGGGATTACGAGTCTAGAGTTATTGAAACGGAGAAATCGAACGAGACAGAAATTTATTTTGAAATTCAACCCTTCCCGAGGGTTGAAATGAAAACATTAATATCAATCTTTGTGTGGAAATGAGAGCTATACTTTAACATTCCGCTACAATTTGTTATTCAAAGTACATAAAGTAGATACTAATTACTAGAAACGGTCCGTTTTATTGCTGTGTTCGTTTAGCACATGTTCTTCAACAGCCATATGGTAGAACGCTTGTTAAAATGTACGGTCAAGAATGGCGACACTTATTGTGTTCAATGTAAAATTCAATACTAAACTGTATTACCAACAAAATAAAATTAATTATAAAATGACATTGCTCTAACACTACTTATCAAAAATCTTAATAGGGGATAATTTAAGTTAGTGTGTAGGGAATACGGTAGGTAAATAATTAATTTCATTTTAATTAATAGGCGATTCCATGTTTAGTTGCTTATATTTGTTATCTGTTTTTCCTGAGCGTTCTTGGTTCCTAGTAGTCAGGAATAATTTAATTTAAAATGATCATTAATGTGTTTTTAATGCTTAAAAGATTATTAATTAATATTTCTAGAAAGTTTTAGTAAAAATATTAGGAATAACTCATGGGGTTACTTAATTGTGTTATTTTCGTGGGAATTATTTAGGTATTGAAAATGTATGAATTACTTTGAACATTTTTAGTACACATTCATTGTCACTAACATTGCTCTGTAATTAAGATTGCAAGATTGTTTTCATAATAAAATAATTTTCATAGTCAATAAGGTGAGTAAAACGTGTTAATTCTTGACTCATTATTAAAACATTGTAAGTACTTATAAATAATAATTTTATAATATATTATTTAAAACTTTCACAAAATTGAAAATAATTCAATACAAAAAGTATGCCCTCAATACAAGTTGTGAGAAAATTTTAAACTTTACGCTCTGGTAAAAGTTTAGTAAGTACTAAAGTACACGATGACTCATTGCGCCCGTTTAACTAATACAATAATATTAAAGATAGGTGTATTAAAATACCACACATATATCAGATAACTTAGTTATCATATCGAAATTTACAAACAAACGCCAAACAAGTCGAAAAACTAATAATAAAACTTAACTTTAAAAGGCAAGTCACCATTTTGAACGGATGTGAATTGTGAGTTGTACTCAACAACGCATTGTATTATCTAGCAAAGTACCTTGTGAAACATGCAACAACATATCTTACACATTATCAAGGCTGTTATTTAGTTAAGGAATCTGTAGAATTAGCAAGCGGACGACCCTAAACATAAACTTTAGTGCATTAAAACGAGTCATGATACGTAAAGGACAGCCACCATTTTATAACGCCTAAGCGCGCCGATATTTTCCCCCACACTGGCTTCAGGAAAAACGATCGTGTCAATTTGACATCGATCCCACGTGACGCAGTGGTTTTAATGAGCCGTCCGCGGACTAGAGATGCAGTCCGCGAGGGAGGTAGCTATCAAATCAGTTTGCACGGATACACACACAATACAAGTTCATTGACACGCCACGGCCGCATTTTCTCCTTTCAAAGGCGTTTGTACTTACCAATTGTCCAATTTTATGAGCTCATCGGGTTTCTTTGTTTTCAATTCAGCTTTTAATTTAATCGCTTGAGGGTAAAACTTTAAAACACTGTCAAAATCTTTTGCATCTGCCTCCAGAAAGAAAGTAGACGTGTCTTTCGCGGTAGCCATTGTGAACGTTCTAAATGTACAACACTGCGTATTTAGTTTAGCTATAGCGCCGAACTCGACGCGGCGGCAGCACCTGGCCAACTGGGCGCCCTCTCCCCACTCGCCGCCATCTTGTACAGCGAACCTCGTAATGACGTTCGATATTATTATTCGAAATATGCTTAATTCGTCTGCATTTACGCTTATAAGACTATTATTTTGCATAATACTGTACCAAAATTGAATCAATATTCCAATTTACTTAGACATTCGTGGTATTTAACCAAATTGAGTACGATAGTAACAAAAAATATACTTACTCGACAGCACAAGGTTATGTCGGTCGCGCGGCGTGTCGAACGTCGGACATTTGTCTGGCCTCCACCCACAGGGAGAACCGGGATGAGAAAAAATAAATTCCATTTTAATGTTAAATCACAGCACCACACTCCAATATCAAATTGAATTTTGGAAAACTAAACACAAAATGAGCACAATCACGATAATGTTAGTCACGTCGGCCTCGGCGCACTATCAATTTCCTTAAACGTGACGCAACACACGACACCGTTCTACCGAAACGACTTTGGTAAACACGCATATTTTCCGTTGCATTGCAGTACACACTGAGCTCGGAGTAGTCATGAAGTAGTAACTAGCGGTGTACATAAGGCATTTAGGTAGTAGGACGTACATATCACCGGGGTGGAACGTCACACCAATCGGCTTTGTTGTTTCGAAAGATAGATCGCCATGTGCTCTGATCCCTCTTTAATTTAGGTGTGTTATTGTTTATTTAATAGCTCGTGGTAAAGTTGCGCTTTTATTTATTTCATTGATTAGATGCGTAGCGTTTTGATTGAATGTATTTGTCAGTTATCGGCATTAGAATTCGTCTTTTCTTTCTAAGTCTTAGAAGGGATATTTTCGGGAACTTTTATGATTAATTTGAGTAGCTAATTCCTCACTTAATATTACCTACTTATCTACACTACGCCAACATTTCCAACATCCAGATGAATGGGAAAATCTGATACTAATTTACAAATTTCTATTGATTTTCCAATCTTCACATTAGCTGTGAAAAGCCTAATTTCTCCTGTTAATCTAGTGTAACTCGATGCTCCATAATGTAATTTAATTCTAAGTGTCTATAATCTTTTAATAGCAAATCAATAACCTTATAGACTGATTGTGCAACACGTGTTAGCAACCTGTCCTATTTTCATTTGCAACGCGTTTTGTAGCTGTTCAAACCAAATCTGAAGTTCGCGTAATCAACTAAGCTAAAATCGAAATATTACAAGGAATATGTAGGTACCAATCTATTTTTCATTACATAATTCAATAACTTAATCGTCCAATCCAATCTGAAATTACTACACTAAGTTAGAGAAATTCCAAAAATATTTATGTCTGAAAAGGCGACCAGAATATCCAGCTTACTTTCTATAGTAGGTACCTACCTAACACGAATAATTCTTATCCTAATAAGTAGGTACCATAATTAACAATGGCCAATAATGAGTCTGAACGTGATTATACTCGAATTCCTACCAAAAATCCAGGAACTTAACATCGTAATTCCTAATCCAAATTCAATTAATAAAATCTTTTGAACAGAGTATACAGTTGAACATTAAGACGAATATATTTTGTCTCACGTTTTATTTGTCCATTTCTCAACATTTTGACACAGTATCGAGATGATTCATGTCCTAGTTCCTTTCAAAGACATTGAGATATTAAAGAAAGAAAGAAAAAACCCGGTTGTTATGTTTTCGTAATGTTTACAGATCCCTTAATCTACTTTCATGTTAAACATTTAAGTAACTATTACTTCCGTCTAATGTATCTTTTGGTTCATCGAATATAAAGTCTATATACTCATCAAGTATACGAGTTAATACATTAGTATTATTTCAATTCACTTATTAGTTACAATTTATTCTTGAGATATTATGGATGATTTTATTGACCAGTCATTCTCATAGAAGTAAAATTATTTTCTTAAAATCTAACAAACTGCGTGACCTAGTTTAGATTAAACACTTACGGTTTTGGTCTCTGTACATGGCTGTATGGACTATATACTTAGGACATTCCAGGACAGCTACGAATGGATTATCTAACAAACGAGAAGAACTATTATCGTGTCATCATAAGTGTTTATAGCTTACCTAAATGAAAACAGTATATATCCAGTATGGAAAACCTTTGAAAATCATTAGCGTAAAGATTACTTACTTACAAATAGTACTGACGATGCTACAGTCAAATTTACATAACATCACGCCTTTTTATCCCCGAAGGGGTAGGCAGAGGTGTACATTATGCCACTGTACAATGTAACACCCACTTTTCACTATTTATGTTATTAGTCCCATCTAATGGGGGGTGAGCCTATTACCATATACCGGGCACAATTCCAGACTCCGTGCTAATACTGTGAATTTTTTGAAAAACCCAGTAATTCTTTGCCCGACCCGCGAATCGAACCCGAGACCCCTCGAATCGCACTTGCGACCACCCGGTAAAATTTTTTGATGATATTTAGTCTGGTTTGTAACCTGGAGTTTTGTACTCATAATACTACGATTTAAGGATCTAAGTAGTAAGTGATACTGTTTCATATATTATAAAATGCTAACCTTTTTTATGTCATAAGGGCGAACCAACGGATGGATCTTCCACCATCGCCCATGGACACCAAAATAATTACTAATGCATTGCTCATGATGAAGGTCGTCATTTTAAAGTGGTATAAATGCAGTTACATTATTATTATATAACAACTTTTTTCAGTTTTAATTTGTATGCATAGTGAACTTAGTTTTTGTCATAGGGGTAGACAGAAGTGTACAGTACACCCCAACTTGCATACATTTTCGTTGAATGCAATTCGTTCACTGTAATAGGGGTCGATTACTATACTCGATAGTCTATTGTTATGCATAAATGCAGGTTCCATACTGCAACTGAGGATTTTAAAGTTGAAACAATAGTACTTAGTTTTATTGAGACATCGGGGCTTTGGATTCAAATCTATTATATGCGCAAATTGAGTCAAAGGGTACCTACAGTTTATATCCTTGTGCCCTTCTTGCTTAATAAATGCGACAGTTCGTGTATGGATGTTTATTAACACATTAAACGCCATGGGGGTCACCGATGACCGGCGTTAGAGGAGGATTTACCTTCAACAGTTTTTTATTGGCAGTCAAAGTCTTAATCTTCCCATTAAAAGATATTCAACAGATCTGGAATAAAATTAGCACAGAGACAAATCATAATCTGGAATAACACTATGCTACTTTTTTCGTGTAATGTTGGCGAAGCAACTTGCTGATGATGGTGTAGATTTGTAGAAACATAATTATTTAATTAAACCTTTAACTATTTTCAGATGGACGTGAATTTCAAACCAAGATTCAGAGGCAGGAGATGTGGGCATGGTCTTGCGGCATATTACGTGGTCTCCCTGCATCTTATCTTCTCCTGGTGGCACTGCTGATATGTACCAACAGTCTAACTTCCGAGTAGTGCTTTCCCATACCTTTAGCACTATGGGTATAGTGTTCTGTTGTGTGCTTTAACCTCCCTTGTTTTTGAAATGCTGACTTTACTGACTTAGGTACGCATTCTTAGACTTAAAATAGATTTTATTTTAGTAGGTACGTAATAGTCTACCTAACCTCACGTCTGGCTCCCATGGAGGTAGGCAGAAGGCAGACACTATGTAACGGAAATTGCTGCGACTCGTACTTACATAGTCGAAGGCAATTCTAAAAATATTTTAGACATCTATATTAACTGTTCTGCACAAAATATCAGCAGATTTCTTTTATTTCAATGCATTAATTAAATTTTTAAATTCATTTTATGCGCTCACAAATAAGATAAATCATTAAGCCATGTCTCTATTCGCTTACTACTCCGTATTATATCTTAAATACATGTTACAAATAATACGAACAAACAGAAATTATAGTCGCTGTTATGTAGAGATAATTTCTCGCGATATGACATCCAATTATTCCATTAATCAGATCGCGCGCTCGCGAGTCGCGACTAAATACATTATAAACAACGGCGTCTCAGCCAATAACAATTAATGCCATTGTATCACGAAAACTAAACGATAACTGTAAACAATCTAAATACCGAAATATAATTCAGGGTTCATCGTTAACGTGAATATTTCGAAAACAATAGAATAAAGTATTTCCTAAATAATTCACAAACACAAAAGAATGTTCTGAGAACAAAAATCTGAGCATACAAATTCCTGATAGCAGAACTGTTAAACAGGCAACAGTGTATTATTTAACGAGCGCTGACTTAACGATAATACAGTATCGTCGCTCGGCGGTCTTTACGACGTGATATTTCGAACGAAATATGGCTTCAATAGGGTGCCAGTTGAATGCAGGGATACGGGTCCTAAAAGAAGTGAGCGTCGAGGGTTTGGCCGAGCGCACAAAAAGTACGAAGGGAACAAACGCGCCGTGCCGCGCCGAGCGCAGAGGGTTCGGTTCAGTTTAATTTTTTATGTTTATACTGGGATCCCGTCTGTATTCGATAAACGAACTGGCTGCCTGCTGGGACCGAACCCGACGAAACATAACGTGCACAAATACTTTTACAAATGTTACTAAAGATTTGAACATTTGAGAAATTATCAAATTATTTTAGATGGATTTGGGTTTTACCGTCTAGTTATTGGCAATTTTAGTAGAGATAGTTGTCAAGGCTAATTAAAGTCAAATAAAAAAAACAAATGCTTATTTTGAAAGCTATTTCATAGACTTTGAAATTAATGTGCAAATAACGATTTGACAGCGTATGAAAAACAAATGATCGCAGCAAAGATTGGAAGAATAAAATTGCCTGCACTTATAATAAAAATACACTGAATGATGACATAAAAATTAAATTCCAGTTTTTGCTAACAGGTCTAAATGTACTTTTGTGCGAGGAATGAATAAATGAAGCAGATGTGAACATGTCTGACACACCGCATAGTGATGTATAACTTCGTACTACCGTTTTAAAGGTAGTTGTTGAATAGCGGGAATTAAAATTGGGTGCGTCAGTGCCGCACGGCGCGGTATGTTGACAGCCCACTTGTCCGCGTTCCTGGAA